CCCCCCCCCCCTTTTTTAAACTAGAACTGTTTTAAAAGGGATTTAAAGAGGGAGATCAAATGCATTTTATCTGTCTTCTTGACTTTGTGGTCGTGAAGCGCCTCATATTCTTCTGTAGACTATGTCGTGATGTACCTTCTTCCTATCCAGACACTGGTCATTTTATCTTTTCTTGGTCTGTCTCGGTTTTTCATATTGGTGTTTACAAAGAATTGTTCTTGGTTTCATTGATTCCACCCCACCCCCACCATTGTTTTTCTGCTGATTTCATTGATTTCTGTGTATCAGTGTTTCCTTTTTATTGCTTTATGTTTAATTTACTTTTTCGAGTTTCTTAAGGTGAAAGCTTATGTCATTGATTTGAGACTTTTTCTAATATAACCATTTTAATGCTTTAAATGTTCTTGAATCATTGTTAGAATTGTATCCCTCAAATTCTCCTAATTTGTATTGCATAATATTTTCACTTTTTTTTGTCAGTTTCTCTTTGACCTATGAATTATTTATTGTTTAATTTTTTTAAATGTGTAAGGGTTTCCTAGATGGCTTTGCATTATTGATGTATAGCTTAGTTTCCCTATGGTCAGAGGACATACATATTATGACTTCAATTCTTTTATTTGAAGTTTGTCGATAGTTCAGAATGTGGTCAACAAAAGTGAGAAGAACCCCTCACTGAGGTGAGTTGTCAGAGGTCACGGTAATGGACTCGATTCATCTAACACCACCAACAGCAACTCGGGCCATCGAGGGTCTCGCACAGCCACTCACCTGTGCCCTAGCTGAAGTAGCCACAGACAGTGCAGACCAGAGCGCTGTCTCCGTAGACTTCATTGACAGGAACACATGTCGGGCCGCATGGGCAGCCATTGCTGTAATGAACTAGAGATTTGGGTTTGGGTAGCCACCCCTCCTCTTGGGTGTAAATCTTGGTCATTGAGCAGATACTGAGATTTCCTTTTTCCTCTCCTTTCACTTCCAGTGGGTTCTTGTCTAGAACCTGTTCTTCCTTTCTCTTCTCCAGGAATGAGCAGCGACAGTGATATTGAATGCGACACTGAGAATGAGGAGCAGGGAGAGCACAGCTGCATGGGCGGGTTTAACGATTCTTTCATGGCACAGCCTCCAGATGAAGGTGAGACACGTGTCCCACCACACAGATTAATAAACCATCTCCTCTTCTTTTCCCATTACTTTTTCTTCCTTTTGATTATTGTCATTTGTGAGACTACCTATTATTGGCAAGGTGTATGGTAAGTTATTGGAAAATAGTGGTAAATGTTGTTTGCCGTAGTTAGACATTTAGAACAAGGAGATCTGGATCTTATTTTTGTCCAGTCTGTAACCTAAGAATGATTTTTACAACAATATGAAACCAAGACCGCATGTGTCTTGCAATGCTTACAGTAGTTAAGATTGACTCTTGATGGGAAATGGCTACAGACACCAAAGCGCTTTCAAATGTTTGGTGGCTTTTTAATTTCTTTTTCTTTTTAAAAGATAATTTAAACCTATCTATAAAGTAGTGTTTTTTCAAAGATAACTTTCTCTGGTTTATTAGAAATGCATGCAGATTACACGATTATTCATTTCTATTCTCTTTCCTCCCTAATAAAGTCTTGGGGGAGGGGAAAGCCCACTGAGAGAAATGGCACCATTAATATTTGTCTTGTTTTCATTTGCATTTTTGTACCTAATAGATGAAGTTTTGTGTTCTGCCTTTTTCTTTTTCTTGGCAGTTTGATATTCTGTCACTTGGATGTACCATAACATCATAAAATGAAGATTTCTAGATTGCAGATTAAATGTTAAAATGGGTACAACTATTTCTCACTTATTGGCTATCTGAGTATTCGACTTCTCACAGTTAGGACAATAGTGAAAATACATTGCCAACTTACCTCCGACAGTTAAGGCATGCCAATGGGGGAGGCAAGAGCAACACTGGATGTGATAGGGTTAGGTGTCAACTGGCTGAGCCACTATTTGGTGGTTTGGCAGTTATGTAATGATGAGATTTGGCAATTACATGCTTTGACATCCTCCTCCTCCACTTTTGCATAATAACCTGGTCTTTGGAGCCTAACTATGATAAGTAAAGAGAAGATGTACTAAAAAATTCAAGAAATAATTAATGCATTGTTCATTTAAAGTTACCCAGAGACCTTAATGATCAGTGTGAGCATTCCCTTGGCCTTGTCAGTTTGATGCTAATTGTCAACTTTATGGTTTACTTATTTCTCTGGTACTCCAGTTTCTCTCTCAATGCAGAGCCAGTCATTTGATGGTTTTGGAGTACTAAGGCACCTTTAGTAATTTCCTCAGCTTCTCAAAGATGTTCTTCTCGGTGCTGGTGGGTTTTTGTGATCGTTTGTGTGTGTGGCTTAGCTGACTTTCTGGCCCGTTTCATGTTTCTAGAATCTGTGTCTTCAGAGTGTTCACCACCATGGTTGACTCTCCCTTCTGCTTTCCTCCCTGGCCTTCCCGGGGGCACACCGAGCGAGGCCGGGCCTCCCGTCCTCTGATTGGGGGTTTCTGTCGCGTTTGCTCTCTCCTTTCTTCTCCGTTTATGTTGACTTTCACCTGACTCAGATAAAAATCCTCTGAGGATAGAGCTTTGTCCATAACCCGGCACGTCTTTATCACCGAAATACACTATGTTACATTATTTAAGAACTCTTCAAACAAATACTATCTTTGATGATCTGTGTTGGCACAGTGTTAAGTGCTTGGCTGCTAAGCAAAAGGCCCGTGGTTTGAGCCCATCCTCCCTCTGCGGGAGCAGCATGTGTCAGGCTGTTGCCATGAGGAGCAGTCCCTCCTGTGCTAGAGCAGGTCTGGACTGCCCTCCAGTCACTGCGAGTCGGTCGACTTGGTTGATGTCCGTAGGTTTTAACCTTTGGCTTTTTTACCGTAGACACATGTTCCAGTTTCCCTGATGGCGAGCAAATAGGCCCCGAAGATCTCAGCTTCAGTCGCGATGAAAACGGTGGAAGGTAATGCTGAGTCCGGAGAAAGGACTCCCCAGCCGCCTTGTCCCTAAAATCTGCTGTAGTCGGTGCTCAGATCTTTCATCAATCAAATCACCAGATTTAATCTCAGTCTTCATCATCCCTACCAAAAGTACTCAATCTGGAACTATTAGAAAGTGTCTAAGAAAGTACAACATAGGGGGAGAAATGAACAGCGTGGCAAGAGTTCTTCGTAATGTAGTGAAATAGCAGTGTAGTCCTAGAAATTGATTTAGTAGACTAGTACTGTTACAAAAGGCAATTTGTCTACTACAGCAGAAAGGCAGTTCATGCCGGAACATGTACCGGAGACAGCGCATGCCTCCTGGAAGCTGCTCAGCACCGGTGCACCTCTGTCTCTGCTAGACGCTCAGCCATATTTAAGTGGCCACCTTCATGTGTGGGGCTTTAATCAATAGTTTGTAGCTTGTTTAGTGCCTACTAATTTCATGAACAGAAAAACTAGAATCTGCCTTGTAGATAGTTGGTGTGAATAAGTGAAGTAACACTGAACTGAATCCTCTGTAGAGCAAGGTTGACAAAATGAAGCTAACTTATTTCTCTCTCCTCACTTCTTCAAGCACAGGCAGCTGTTCAGTGGCACGTCATGCCTCCAGTATGTGACTTTTGCAAATTTAGTGTTACATGAATAAGTTAATGTGGATTTGTTGTGTCCGCAGTCATGTGAACATTTGGAAGATCGTTTAACTCTATTTGATCTCTTCTGCCTCATACAAAACTACTCTAGTGCCACCAGTATTGAGATGTGCTTTTCTCGATACCATTAGACACTGGTTTAATTGTCAAATACATTGAAAGATTCATATGTGCTCTACTGCGACTTGCATGAAAGTCAAACTGTTGTGTAAGGTTTTCTTGAATACAATAAGCCCAAAACCATTGGCAAACTTCCCCATTATGTCCCTGCACTTGTATTGCAGCTGCTATATTGTTTGTGAAATTACCCTGAAAGTTGACCAAGAGACTGTTGAAATAGCATGAAATATATTCACACATACATATATGGGAGAGGCATCTTATATGCTTATATTTTTAGTTAATGGCAATTCATTTTTCCATGTCTGCTGTCTTGCTAAATGCTGTGATTTATGGTTTCTTATTCAAAAGAGTTTGCACTTTTTGTTAATAAAAGGAACTTGGGAAAATACTATGCCTCTGAAATTTATTGAAAGTGGGACTAGAAATCTATATTTTCTCTTCATATTGCCAGTGTGTGACAGAGGCTGTTTAGCTGTGAGTAACTGAACGAGGAAGTCAGACAGTAGCCTTTGAATCTCTGTAGTAAACATGGCAAGACTTTGTCTCACATATTTTGGACATGTTACGAGGAGGGACCAATTCCTAAAGAAAGGACATTGTGCTTGGTAAGATAGTGTAAAAGAAGATAACTCATGAGATGGATTGACACAGTGGTTGCAGCAGTAGTCACAAACTTAGGACAGATTTTGAGGACAGCCCTGGACGAAGCAGTGTTTCATCTGTTGTACTTGGGATCACTGAGTAGGACTGACTCAGCGACACCTAACAACATTTAAAATGATTGGAAGAGTTTAAGTGCTACCTTCTTAAGAAGGTACTCACTCAGCATTTACTCACTAACCGTGTAGGCATGTCTAGATATTAAATAGGTTGTGTGTTTTTTTCTTAATCATTTTATTGGGAGTTCATACAACTCTTAGCGCAATCCATACATACATCAATTGTGTAAAGCACATTTGTACATTCATTGCCCTCATCATTCTCAAAACATTTCCTCTCCACTTAAGCCCCTGGCATCAACTCCTCATTTTCCCCTCTTCCTCCCTGCTACCCTCATCCCTCATGAACCTTTGATAATTTATAAATTATTATTTTGTCATATCTTTCACTGTCCGATGTCTCCCTTCACCCACTTTTCTGTTGTCCATCCCCCAGGGAGGAGGTTATATGTAGATCCTTGTAATAGGTTCCCCTCTTTCCACCCCACTCTCCCTCCACTCTCACCACTGCTCCTGAAGGGATCATCCATCCTGGATTCCCGGTGTTTCCAGTTCCTATATGCACCAGTGTACATCCTCTGGTCTAGCCAGATTTGTAAGGTAGAATTGGGATCATGATAGTGGGTGGGGAGGAAGCATTTAGGAAGTAGAGGAAAGTTGTGTGTTTCATCAATCCTACACTACACCCTGACTGGCTGGTCTCCTCCCTGCAACCTTTCCGTAAGGGGATGTCCAGTTACCTACAGATGGGCTTTGGGTTCACACTTCGCGCTCCCCCTCATTCACAATGATATGATATTTTGTTCTTTGATGCCTGGGTGTCTGCGTTTTTAAGAATGGTCTACGACACTGATAAGTTCTTTAACACATTCTGCATTACTAATTATCTTTTTTTTTTAATCATTGTATTGGGGACTCTTACAGCTCTTATAACAATCTGTACATCAATTGTATCAAGCACATTTGTACATATGTTACCATCATCCTTTTCAAAACATTTTCTTTCAACTTGAGCCCTTGGGATCAACTCTTTTTCTTCCTTCCCCCACCCTCATGAACCCTTGATAAATTATGAATTATTATTTTCATATTCTTAAGCCATTCTCTGTCTCCCTTGCCCCATGTTTCTGTTTTTCATCACCCTGGGGGATGGAGTGTTATACATCGATCATTGCGATCGGTTTCCCCCTTTCTCCCCCCACCTACCCCTACTCTCGTGGTCTCACTACTCCCATTACTGTTCTTCAGTGGTTTATCTGTTTTGGATTCCATGTTTCAAAAGCTTCTGTCTGTACCAGTGTACATGCTCTGGTCTAGCCGGATGGAATAGGAATATTCATTACTTATTACATCTTAATGAGAACATATTTTTATCCAACTTTTTCTTAACCTATATATAAAACTACATGTAAGAATATTAAGCTTTATGTGTTGAAAATAAACCACTGAAAACATTGCTTTGGAGATAATCATGTGATTCCATAAATGCAAATGTGATTGCATCTAGTGTGAATCTCTCACTATTGCGAAGCGGCTTGCTTCACCTGTATGTGCTGCAGAAGTGAGTGCTTTTCTAAGTACCTCTACAGTTCTTTCTATAGCCCTCGTAGATCGTGTATATATTTTGTTAGATTTACAACAAAACACTTAATTGTTTTGGTGCTAATATAAATGGTAGGTGTTTTAAATTTGATTCCAATTGTTCATTCTTAGCACATAAGAAAGCAGTCGATTCTTGTATATTAACCAGTATCCTGTAATGTTGCCCCAGTCAGTTAACATTTCTGTTGTTTTGAGAGTTTTTACATAGAAAATTATAGTAAATGTAAGCAATGATAGTTTTATTCCTTCCTTCCCAATAGATATTTTATTTCTTTTTCTTACTATATTAGCTAGGACTTTCAGTATGATTTTTAACCAAGAATGTTGAGATGGGCTATCCTTAGCTTGCTTAGTTTTAACACATACTAGTTACCAGATTTTTGTAGATGTTCTTTACCAAGTTGAGAATGTTCTCCCATATCCCTAGCTTGCTGCCAGTTTTGTCATGAATAGATATTGTTGGATTCTGTCAGGTGTTTTTATTTGCCTATTGCTATGATCATATGATTTCTTTATCTGCTTGATATGATAAAATTAACATGGATAGGTTTTTAAATGTTAAGCTAGCATATCTGCAATAAAGCACATTTGGTTTCGTGTGAGCTTTTTCACCCCTTGTTGGACTTAATTTTCTGATATTTTGTTGAAGGTTGTCGCATCCATTTTCACAAAAGATGCTGAACTGCAGTCTTCCTTTCTAGTTCGGTCTTGGTCTAGTTTTGGAGTTCAGTGATGTTGGCCCCATAGCACGAGTTAGACAGGAAGTGTTGCCTCTGCTTTGGTTTTCTGGAAGAAATTAAAATTGGTGTCATTTATTTCCTCTTGCAATGTTTGGTAAAATTCACCAGTAAAACCATTTGGCTCTTTCACTTTCTGTTTTAGAGGATTATTAATTGTTGCATCAATTTGTTTAATGCAGTGGTTCTCAGCCTTCCTAATGCCGAGATCCTTCATACAGTTCAAGTTGTGGTGACCCCCAACCATAAAATTATTTTCGTTGCTACTTCATAACTGTAATTTTGCTACTGTTCTGAATTGGACAACCCATGTGAAAGGGTCGTGCGACCCACAGGTTGAGAACCGCTGGTTTAATAGGTATAACCTATTCAGATTATGTGTTTCTAACTTGTGTAACCTGTCACACTCTTCAGAAAATTAATTACTCAGCACGTGATGACAGATAATCCAGGGTAAAGGTGTAGGTACCTGCCTTTGCAGGTCCCCTCCCCCCTCATTCCAGCACCTGTTCTGTCCTCCAGATTGTTTATCCCGCCTATCTTATCTAGATAGACCTGCAGAGATAATAATATGCACACAAAACAAGACAGAGCGAAACAACAATGACCAAAAAAAGAAAAGCCTGTAAATAGTTCAAGGTCTGTTTGTTGGCCTTTAGGAGTGTTTTCCGATCCAGTCTGGTGGGGTGCCACGCCCTGGCCCCAAAGTCTAATTTTGGTTCTCCTTCAGAACTTCCTTGCTCTGCTCCCCTTGCTGTTCTGTTGCACGGCCTTAGTGTTTTGCCTCTGTGTGGTGGGGTCAGATCAGGCCCAATTCCTGCATTGTGTCTCTAGTGTTGTTCCCTGTAGGGCTATGGGTCAGTGAGGGATATCATGTCTCTTAGTGGTCACAGCCATCTCTGTGCGTTGGCTGCTCTGAGTGTGGGTATCTTCCTCAAGGCTTGGTGGGCCAGGATGTGTTCCACTCTCTCTCCCTCCTCCTTCATTTGCTCCCATGTCTTCTGATCAGACATGTTCCTTTCCTGAGCTGTAGCTTTAGTACTGTCCTCTGAAGTAAATTCTTCTGCAGGGAGGGAGGCTGTCCACGTGGTTGGGATTGGGACTGGCCCTTCAGACCTCTCCACTGGTTCCCTGCCTCATGCCCAGT